CCACGCTGGGGGGCTGTGCCTGGGCTGAGGCCAGCAGTGCACTGCTCCCATCCAGTGCCAGGGCAGAGACCTGGGGAGGAACAGGGTAGAAGGAGGATGTGTAGCTGCGGGAGCAGGCCCACAGGCCCAGGTAGCACCCACCTTGTCTGTGTGGCCCAGGAAGAAGCGCTGCTCCCCAGTGTCAATGTGCAGGACAACAATGACGGCATGGCAGGGGTAAACAACAGACGTCCCATCCTTGGTCCACAGGGCCTAACACACAAGGACCAAGGACCACAGTCACCAGCAGCATCCAAAGCCCCTCCTCACTACCTGGAGGCCAGCTTCATCTACCACCCAAGTCCAAGGAGGAGGTGGAAGGCCTGATACACAGGTATGCACAGCACAGAGTACACTTTCCTCCATCACAAGCACAATCCATGACTGCATACATATGGAAAGGATGGCTAAAACATGCACTGCCTCTAGTACCTGCCTGCAGTACAAGAGCCTGAGTCCAGGGGAGCTCAACAAGGGCCAAGGGCTGCCATGGGCAGGTGGTGAGCACTGCCTCCCCCAATTGGGGCTCTTCTCTGGTAGGCCCCCCTCACCTGTCAGAGCTCCACACAGCTGGTTGAGATCAGGGAGGGCCACCCTCATGGAGCAATAAAGGTGCAAATCAGGGCTCTTGGTCTTTGGAAGCACTTTAACCCAGCCATGGCTATCAGGCTTTGCAGAATAAACAGGGAACACCTAGGACCTGGAAACCCACGTGCACCCAGGATGTTCTAAGCATGGGTGGACATGGCAGTGTTGGATATCTGGGGACCAGAGGGAAGCCCACAGAGCCTGCAGGGTAAAAGGACCTTGATGACCAAGGGGGCTGGGAATCTCTCCCCAGTGCTCAACTGCCCAACGAGAGGTTCCCTGGAAGCAGCCACAGGATCCTCACCCATTTGGTGCTGTGACCCCCAAAGCCAATGACACCCTTGAGCCTCAGAATTGGGTCTGGGAGAAAATGCTGAAACAGATAAATATGTAGTGAGATCCCAGGAGACACGCCCCACACAAGGCCTGACCCTCTAATGCTGGGGCTGTGTCCTGCCACTCAAGAAAAGGCCACCTGAGGTTGGGGTGCAGCTCCGTGGTAGGGCACTTGCCTAGGCATTTGCAAGGCCCTGGGTTACATTCTCGGCACTACCAAAAGGAATAAGAAAAAGCCACTTGAGTCCCAGGTGGCTCCTACTGGCAGCTTCCCTCAGACTGGAAGCCAGGACCCTGGCTGCCATGCCAGACCCGGGAGCTCTGGATCCTGCTTTCCCAAGCTGCCTGGACTGGGGTGTTACTTAAGACAAGTCCTTCCTTACTCTTTGTGAAAGACTGCTCACTAGACATGCACATAGGGGTCATGCCCAAAGCTGTCTCCTGCCACCTCTGCATCCTGCCAGGAGCCTGCATGAGCAGGGACACTGAAGGCAGGCCTGCCTGATGTAGCCATGGTGAGCCCAGGCTGGGCAGCGCCTTACCCATACCCCACCCATACCTTGCTTGCTCTGGATGGGCACTCACCTTGCAGGAGCCAGCATCAAGAGCCACAGGCATCTCAGTCGACTTGTGGGCAAGCACATGGCCATTACTGACCACTGTGTGCATGTCAGCAGCCTCTGCCCAGGCCATGGGATCTTGGGTACTGGTGTTAAGGCCACTGACCCTGGGCACCTCTGAGTGCTCACAGGACAGGCTGGCTTCTGGAAGGAGACTGGGTGCTGAGGGAAACTGGGGAGGCTGTGGGGAACCAGAGCACATTGGTACCTTGGCGCTGCTGTCCCCTAGCCCTCTCCTGGGGGCACTCACGGCTGTGGGGCTGGGCATCTGGACCAGTGGGGACACATTCTGCATGGGCTCTCCAAAGACCACTGGGGGAGGAGGAAGCTGTGGTGCTGGCCCCAAGAAGACTGCAGCAGATAAAGAACCCTAGTGATTTTCTGAGCAGAATGACAAGATGTCTGCTGAGAGGGCTGGCAAGGGCAGGGTAACAACTGGCCCTGCTTATCCACCCTGCAGAAGCCACACCACAGCAGCTGCTCGCCATCCCACTCCAGACCCTGGCATCCCCTCTTCCAGTGCCAAAGTTTGAGGCCCCCAGCCCACCTGCTGCAATAGGGGAATCACTCTTCTGGACCAGCTGGGAAGGCACTTTCGGGTTGTCCCTGGGAAACCTTGGTGGGTAGGTGGAGAGGGGGTCAGCCCTGAAGGCCAAGGGGCCACTTGCCCGTGCCCAAGGCTTCTTCAGGAGGGCAGACTGCTCACCGGACATGCACGTATCGGTCATGCCAGCTCTCCCCCTTCGGCACTGGGAAAGCCATTTCTCGAGGCACAGGGGTGACTGGCAGCTTTGCCCTCCGAGCCTCAGCCACACTGACAGCTGCAAGGAGCAGGGCTGCTGCAATCGAGGCAGGCTGATCCAGCTACCTCTTCTAGCCCCAGGCACAGGTGCTTTGTCTGGCCACTGGCCCAGCCACTACCCACACCCTAGGCTGCATCTAGAAATCGGGGGCTCTGGCCTCCAGCTGCATCAATTCAGAGCTCAAAGATGGCATGGTGCCCTGGTAGAAAACCTGGGGCTATAGGTAGGGATGGACACACAGAAGGAGGAGAGCTGACACAGACTGGGTGGGGTGTGGGGCCTGGCCCTCACTGGGGTCGAAGCACAGGTCGCTGGTGTAGAGGTTCCTGACCAGCAGGTTGGCACACAACCTGACACTCTTGAGGTGGCCGTAGCGCCGGCTCAGGTAGACTGACAAGATGTCACACAGGTCGAGCTGTAGGCAGGTCCAGCGGGCACAAGGGGGGGCCACACCCGCTAGGTCTGCAGGATATATATCCAAGGTCAGCGCCTACCCTAGTGCAGCCTCCACTTCCACAGTAATGATCCTGTACCCACCCCAGACCACCACAGCAGCCTGACTGGACCTCCACCACCCAGCTGTGAGGCTGCCCTTACTAGATCATTCACACTCCATCTTGCTATCACCTTTCCTAGATGTCCTAGCCTCAAAGACAAAAGGGAACTGCAGCCAAGTGGCAGAGGACCTGAACTCCTTGAAGAGGCTGGAGAATGACACACGGATGACCTGGCCATCCTGCTGGGGCACAGCAAGGGTGTGAGGAGGGGATGACAGGCTATGGTGCCCACAGGCAGCTCCCATCCCAAGCCCCACACCTCGGTGGACAGGTCCAGGTGGATGGCAAAGTGCTTGGTGGGCAGAGGCCGGAAGAGCACATACAGGTATCTCCCAGTTAGCCCCAGGGACTGGGTGCTGGTTTTGGGAAGCAGGATGTAATTGCTGGCAGAGACAGAGCCCTGGATGCGATACACGGTACTCTTAAGGGCCTTGTCCTGGACAAAGAAGGGAGCAGCGTCCAAAGGGATCCAGGGCTGGGCGCGGTGGCGCTGGCCTGTAATCCCAGTGGCTCAGGAGGCTGAGACAGGAGGATCCTGAGTTCAAAGCCAGCCTCAGCAACAGCAAAGTGCTAAGCAACTCAGTGAGACCCTGTCTTTAATTAAAATACAAAATCAGGCTGGGGATGTGGCTCAGTGGTCGAGTGCCCCCGAGTTCAATCCCCAGTATCCGCCGAACCCCCCCCCAAAAAAAAGGGACCCAGGAAGCACCCAGGAGAAGCATCCACAACAAGGTTTCCCAGCAGGAGGAAGGCCCCACCAGTACCGTCACCACAGACACATCGCCCTCCTTGCTGGACCGCTTCCACTCGTCCACCCTGAAGTATCTGAAGATGTTGAGGAACGGGTGCTGCCACGCTGTGGGAAAGCGAGGCGGCTGAGGGCCTGGAGGGTATGGGGCCAGGGGGACCCTCCGCCTTCCCCAGCGCAATCGCGCGCGCACGGATGGGCTTCCGCACAGCAAGGCCGAGGCTCCCTCGGACAGGCTCCGAGTGGTGGGCGCGGGGCCAGGTCAGCGGCCGGGCCGGCAGGGCCCCTCGCGGCTCCCACAGCCCCAGGTACCCCCAGCCCACTGGCCCTGGAGCCTTCCAGACCGGGACCCCAGCCCCCGAGCCCGGGTTCCAGGACCCCGGAACGCCCGCCGCGCGCAGCTACCTCTGGCCATGGCCGGGCAGCTCGCGCTTCCCGCTTCAGCCGGCGCCCTCCCCACGCAGGGCACGCAGCGCGGCACCTAGCAACGGCCGCCTGGTAACGGCGCGTCACTTCCGCCTCCATGGCGGCGCCCAGGACCCACGTGATCGTGGGACCCGGCCCCCCTGGAGACCAGAGCCTGCACCCTGCAGTCGCTCCCTAGGGCTGCGAAGGGCCTTCCCGCGAGGTTCTCCTTGGCCGCCATGCACAGGCCGCTCCTGCAGACCCTCCTGTGTGGCGGGACTGAGACGCACCCCACTACGAGTGGGGCTGCACGGGGCAGGGCCGGGAGTGGGAGGGAGGCTGAGCTTCACCTGGGCTCTGTAACCCTCTGGAGGGACCCGGACAGCACCCGCGGTACTCCGGGTCTTCTTGCCTCAAGACGGGCAAGGTCACCCTTGACCCATCAGAAAGGCAGCGCTAGTGTCAGTGCCCACGGGGGCCCACAGACACAGGTTCCCAAACAACCATGTTTGTCCCCACAGGCTCACTACCCACCCCTAGACCTGCAGGACATCTTTACCCAATCCTTTTAAGTCAGGCCTGGTGGCCTCAGAGAGTGGGACTTGGCATCCCAAGACCTAGCTCCAATCTTGGGTGGCTAGATTCCCATTTCAGAGCCAGTTCTTTAGCCTCTCTAGGCCCTGTTGCTTTGGCAACAGTAAATGCCAATAGGAGAGCATTAGATGGGGCAGAGCTGGGTCCACAGACGTCCCAGCAAAAGGGGCTGGCTGAGGGCCCCAGGACGACAGCTAGGTGAGAAGCGGAAGACAGAGTTGGACAGAGCTATAGCCCCTGCTGACCCAGAAGCACCAGAGTGGATGGCTGAAGGTACGCTTAGCTGACACAAGGACCCCACACTCTCAAGTCAAGGCCACTCCAAAGGGCAGTTTCTCAACTTTATTAGCCTGCAGCTCTTCCCTGCCAGCCCCAGGGGCTGGTCCCTGGGCAGTGAGCCGGACTGAGGTCAGACAGGTTCCACTTCTGGCCCCTGCCAGCTTGGGACAGCTGGGCCAAGGAACCAAAGGTACGAAAGTCCAAATGTGGCACTTCAGGTGAGGCCAGCTTCTAGCCGACCACAAGGTGGAGGATATCGTGGCCTTCTCTGGCCAAGGGTTCATCTTGGCAGTGTTCATTCCCAGGCAGCCACTATGAACAGCTGGTGATCCTAGCCAGGAACTGCTGTGCCCACCACTCGTCCAGGTCGATGGGCACAAAGTCTGTGGGCAGAGCAGAAGCTGAACAGTGACACCACCTTCCAGACTGGTCACTGTCTCTGCCCTTAAGCTGAGCACAGGCCCCTCACTCAGATTCCAAACAGCAGGCATTGGGAAGAAGGGGTCCAGCTCAAGAGTCCCCTCCCCAAGCCCCTGGCAGGACCCAGGTCAGGACAGAGAGGCTAAGGGAAGACAGTAATATGGAGTAGGGCTCCCTTGGGGTACGGGGTCTGGGAGAATTCCTGGGAACAGGGCTGGGGGCTCACTCTGTAGCCGGGGATCGGGTGTCCTCTCCACGTACTGCACAGGCCTTGGCCCACTCTCACTGGCCTGGCCACCTTCCAGCTGTCGCTCCACCTGCTGCCAGGCTATAGGGGATGGGTGGTCAGGCTGAGCCAGACCCCTGGCAGCCCCTCCCTGCCGAGGGCCTAGTGGCCACCCTAGACTCAGGTCAGCATTGGGAGTAGGCAGTCTTCTGGGTGGTCATAGGACAGACTACAGAGAGCCAAGGAAAAGCACAGCCAGTCAGGCTGCAGCAGGCTGGAGGACCTGGGGTCATCCCAGTTCACCTCACTGGGACCCATAGCCCAAGCCATACCCTCTAACCCTTCACTACCTTCGGACACAAAGCGGACATTCTCCTCGTGGGCCAGTGTGTAGGTCTCTTGGGTTCTCTCAAGAGATGGGGATGTGGTGAGGGGCCGCCGGCCATTCACTCGATTGAACACAAGTCTTGGCCCTGGACTGTGGGAGGGAGGAGACAGTATGGTCAGTACCCATCCAGGCCCAGGTGCCACCTGGCAGAGCCCAAGGGCAGCCTTGGGCCATGCCCACTGCTCCAGACCAGGCCCAGCCTGGCCCTTCCTCAACCACAGAGCAGTGGCCTGCAGCAGTTGATGATGTAGGCCTCCCTTGCAGGCCCTGGGCAGTTCAGCTCACATCTGCAAACCTTGGTTCCAGGGAAGCAACTTTGGGCCAGGGAGGGATCACCAGCTGTTTCCGACCTTGACAGAGGCACAGCCAGTGCCCCTCTACACTGCCCTTCACCCCCACCTTCAACAGCCCAGGTAGACCTCAGTTATGAGTAGGTCTCTTCCCCAGCCCCACCTGGCAGGCGCATTTACTCCTCTACCTACACCTGATGTGGGAGAACAGACCTAACAGCTGGATGGTCTCTGCCACTCCCACTCCCTGGCTGCCCCCAGGCCCTGAGGGGATGTGGACCTAAAGCCTGTGAGAATCAAATGGGGAGAGCGTGACCACAACCCAGCCCATTCCCCATGAGCCAGAGACAAGGGGCAATACAAGTGAGATGGCCCCCATGGCGCTGCACAGGATGTCCAGGGGGCCACTAAGCAGGTCCCAGCCAGGCAGGCCTAGGGCAGGGCTGAGCCCTGTGCACATGATGCCCACACGAAGCCCAGGGTGGGGCCGTGGAGGGAATGGAGCCGCACCTACAGCAGGAGGTGGGAGCCAGAGTCCTGGGCTGCGCCTGCCGCTCCACCAGGCACTCGCGGTCCCGGGCGGCCTGCTCGCCTTCCTGGGCTCAGGTGCCCCACGCCGCTCTGGGTTCCTCCTCAGGTGAGAGGGGCACTAAAATAAAGAGGAGGGTCTTGAGGGGCGCAGGGTCCTGCCAGCCCCAGGGCCGGCAGGGTCTTGTTGCCACAGAGAACCTTAGATGTGCAGGTGGAGACTGAGAAGGGGCAGCGGCTCCTCCCCAACCTCGAGACTGCCTGAGCTTCTGCATAAGCCGGGGCATAAAAGTCTGTCCTCCTCTTGGCAACCTCCCCTTGCCTGCAACCACCCCCACCTTGAAAGACTTCAAACACCAGGAAAGCTTGGAGATGGGACATCAAATTTTTAAGAGGAAGAAATGCAACTGGCCCTATGAACTACAAGGGATCTAGGTGGTGGTGCTCAGGCTGATATGGAGTCCCAGCAAGGCAACCCACTACCCCACCAGTTATATAAAGCCCAGGCTCTGTGAGAGGAAGAAACAGCCCCAGTATGCACCTGTGAAGGATAGCCAACGTATATCAGCTTTTAGGAATGCTGTGCAAGCAAGTGCCAGCCCACAGACCTCCTCTTTTATCACTTCCTCTCATGTATCCCCTCCACCACTTCCAAGGTAGACCAGCAGCCTATTTTTTTTTGGCCCAAGAACCTGGGCTGGAAAGAAGTGGGAAGGGGACGGCAACAAGATTCAGCATTAGTCCTGGCCTCAGAGCTCACACCCCTGACTCAGTACCAACCCTCAAGCCAGCCTCCTTCATGTGTTCTTGCTGGCCACAGGCCCTACCTTCCTACCTCTGGTATCCCCCTACCACCCTTGGGGACAGGTAATCATACTGCCCCATTTTGTCTCCTTCTCTCTCAACAGGACTGCCAGAGGTGCCGATCTAGCTGGCCTGTCCACTTTCAAAGGCAATGCCCACATCCATGCCTAGCCTGAACTGGAGCCCATACATTTAGCAGGTCAGGAACTCTGGGACTGCTGTGTGCCAGTAGGACAGGCAGTGGCCACCACTGCCCTTCTCCCACAATTGGTCAGATGAATGATGGGTGGTCAAAGGTACTAAGCAAGGAAGCTGTGGGAGTGTTAGGTGGGTGATTTTGGAGGGTGGCCCCTGAGAAGAAGCAGGAGTGGGGGCCACATATGGAATTGCCAGAATCTCCTAGCCGAAGGACTAGGACTGGGTGCAACCCACTGACCTCAGAGGAAATGAGAACAGTGAGCTCTGCCCAGTCCAGCAGAACTGAAGGCCACCCCCCCTCCGCTTTCCCCTCCAGCATGCCTGGCTTGGCTGACTAATGGAAAACCTCAGGTGTCCACACCATATCTGGTCTCCTGGGGGTCTATGCTCTAGAGAAAACAGCCAGTGGGCCTCAAGGTGTCCCTTGCAGTCCTTACCCACTTATCCTCTTCCTTCCTGCCTCCTTGACACTGCTCCCAACTCTGCCAGGGACCTGCCCTTGCTGTCCGCAGCAATGGAGCCTTGGAGAGGAAGAAGCTCCCCCAGGTAAGAGGTGTGGGGTCCATCAGCCACTTTAGCCTACACCCGCTGACTGAATAACCACATGGTGGCTACACACTAGAGTGCCTCAGCTTCCTCCAATGGGTGGAACAACCAGGACATGGACTGATGTCAGCCAAATGTCCCCAAGACCCCACTCACCCCCTCCCCAGGGCGCACCTCTGGCCTAGGACACTTCTGCCAGAGAGCCTCAGCATGTCAATGTGTCCCTCAATCAGGAAGCACCCCTCTCCAAAAAGTCAGTCACCTGACCCTACATCCCTCCACTTGTGGATTCTGAGCCCCAGCAGCTGAGAGGGGCATGGAGACACAGCACCCCCAGCTGTAGCTAACCTGCAATTCTGGACCCCTGGGGGCTGTCAGTTCTCAGCTTGGAAAGCCCCCACCTCCTGGGGTGTGCCCCACACTGCCTCAGGGAGCCCTGAGCTGATCCTGTGCCACCCCCACCTGGGGCCTAGGCGGGAGCAAAGTCCACAGGCTCCAGAAGGAAACAGTGGAGTAAATTGAGCCAAAGGAGTAAAAGGTTCAACCCTGGGGGAGGAGGCTAACCTCCAGGTCATGGTCCCTGGAGGGCAAAGTGGCTGGGGGCACTGGGCAGGCGGCTGGTTAGGAAAGGAAGGAAGCTGCAGGCCCTAACGCACCGGGGCATTTGCTGGAAAGGAGGGGACTCCAGTGCCCCAGGATGTCTGGGGTGAAGGACAGAGGGCTGGGGCCTGGCAGAGCAAGAGGGAAACACGTGCACCTCTCTTACAAGGACACCCAGGAGACCTTGAGGGCCTGCGCCCTGGGCAGCTCTTCCCAGCCCTTTACCTCGGCCGTCCAAAAGAGGTCCGTCTTACAGCCCAAGGTCGCCCGGCGCGTCTGCCTCTGCCACCCGGAGCCCCCTTTGACCCACGAGCGGATCACAGGCCGGCGGGCCCCACGTGGCCAGGAGTGTCCACGCTAGCTAGGCCGAGCCCTAAGGCCCAGCCAGGTGGGCGGAAGCACGAGCAAGCTAACCGGTGCGCCCCGCCGGCGTCCACCGACTTCTCCCCAAGGTCACTCTCCAGGCCGCCGGCGGCCACGCTCACCTCGACAAGGGCCAGGGTCCGGGCTGCGGCGCCAAGGGCTGAGCCCGCGGGGGTGGCGAAGCCGGCGGCGCGGGCTGCCGGCATTTCAGGAGCTCACCGAGCCTGCTCTCCACCTGCTGCTGCGGGGGACCTACGGGCGCGGGGAGGGCACGTCAGTAGCCGCGGGTCCGCGATGCCAGCGCCCGCCCGCGCTCCCGACCGCTGGGCGCACCTGTGCGGCGCTGTGCGACCAGCTTGCTGGGCCCCTTGGTGATGGTGTACATGGTACGCCTGCCCGCACCCAGGGCCGCTCCGCCCTCACTTGGCCGCCCTCCCCGCCCGCCGGCCGGATGGTCCTGCACCCTCCGACCGCTCGCGCTCCGCGGCGAGGCGGGCGTGGCCCCTTTAAGGGCAGCGGGCGGAGTAGGGCAGAAGGCGGAGCGGCTCGTGCACGATCCCCCGCCCTTAAAGGGGCCGCGTGCCGGTACCGGACTGGCACGTCTCGCTGGCGGCGCTCCCAGCTGTGGGGCATCTGGTGGTGATGCGATGCTGCAGTGCAGAACGAGGTCGGCGGTCTTTGCGACCTCCAGGCGGAGTCCTCCGTGAGCGGTGACTTAGCCCTTAACAGGAGAGAGGGAGCTCTGCCTTGGGTGCTAGGGAGCTTTACTGGGGGCCTCTCTGCATGGGGGTGGGGGTCTGTGCTGAGGGTATCTGTAGTGAGGGGGAACCTGTGCTGAGGGGTGCTCTGCACATGCTGGAAGCAAGGGAGCTTCTGCGTAAGTTTGAAGATCCTCAACCAAGTGCCTGGAGAGGTCTGGGCCGGTATTGGGAGTCACCTTCATCTTAGGGAGTCTAAGAAGAGAAAAGGGGTGAATTTAGCAGGGAATGGGAAGTAACAGTGCAGGAAGCCTGGAGGCCCAACACCAGGTCTAAGCTGGGAAGGGTGCAGGAAGGTCAGCTCCACTCCAGCCCCAAGGCTACTCAGAAATCAGATCCTCTGTGTCCCTGCTGGGCTGCCCCAAGTGTCTGAGGCAGGAGGATCGCAAATTTGAGGCCAGCCTGGGTAACTTAGTGAGACCCTATCTCAAATTAAAAAGACTGGGGATGTGGCTCAGACTGGGGATGTAGCCCCTGAGTTCAGTCCCCAGAGCTGTAATGTGTGTGTGTGTCTCTCCACCTGGCACCTCTTTATTTGGAGTAAGAGTTTTTATAAATGTAATCAAGGCAGTGACTTCAGTATGAATCTATCCTGAATTAAGGTGGCCCTAACTTGAGGGTTGGGGCCCTTTTAAGGGAGAAATCTGGACACAGAGGGAGGCTGTATGAAAATGGAGCATAGGGGCTAGGGTTGTGGCTCAGCGGTAGAGCGTTCACCTAGCATATGTGCAGCCCTGCATTCGTTCCTCAGCACCACATAAAAATTAAAAAAAAAAAAATTGGAACAGAGACTGGAGCAATGTGGGCCTAATCTGACAGTTTCTAGAGTAAATAAATGTATTTTCTAAAAGTCACCATGTTTGGGGATAATTTGTTATAGCAGTTAAACAAACTGATATACCCAGGAGAGTGGTGGAAGGAGGGATGGGAGGGAGCGCTGCATAGGGCCTGAGAAGGAAAGTGGAGGTGTTGGACCCCCACTGGATAGTGGGGGGCAGGCAATGAAAAGTGGGCAGATGAGCTGAGATCTAGGAAAGAGGCTGGGCCCTGCTGTTGACTTGGGGTGAGGTGGGACATGGCCCACAGGCCCTTTTGTGAGTGAGAATGGCATAGGATTGACCCTCACTCATCAGGCATTGCCTAAGCATCTTCTGTAGGCCAGACCCCAAGACAATGACAGGCTGGGAGGAGGGGAAGTGTGTCCAGGGAATAAGAAAGGATGAGTCATGCAAGGGCCAGTAGGTGCTGCAGGACAAGGGAATCCCTTGTTTCTTTCCACAGCATACAACCAAGGACCTGTGGCTTGCTGAGTCCTGGTGATTTGGTCACATGTGGAAAGGTGGCCCCTGCTATGGTGCCTCCTACCCAGTATACATACATCTCTCAGGCCTAAATTCAGTCTCTGGCACTTGACTTCAACAAGGTCAACCCTGGCTATCCAGGGGAATGTTATCCCACAGAGGTTCCAGACTGCTACTAGAATCTAACACACTTGCCTGCCAGGAAATGTGTGATCCCACACACGGACTGCGGAATAACTGCTCCACCACCTCATCTGCTTTTCTGCCAGGCGTTGAGCTCTGGCAGTGCGGAGGCCAGGTGGAGTGATGGATGCAGCAGGGGTGGGGGTGGTATCGGCCAGAGTCCAGTACCATTAAGCACAATGCCATTTGCTGAACACTGTGAACATTTCCTTAAAGCAGGATTCCTGCCTGTGTGCAGAGAGTCCCAGGGGAAGCCTAGGTTGTGAGTGGCACACCTCTACCTAGGTGGTCCCCTGGCTGTCAAAGTCCTCCAGGTCCTCCTGGAGCTACACCCTCACTTGCTGCAGAACCCAGTCAGGGTCACTACCAACACTGTATGTACATCAATATCCACTTCACAGGGCTGGGGCTGTAGCTGGTTTGATCCTCAGCACCAAATAAAAATAAATAAAATAAAGGTATTGTGTCCAACTACTTCTAAAAATAAATATTAAAAATAAAACAAAGGCATTCAGTCCATTTACAACTACAAAAAAAGTTGATAAAAATGAAATATATATATATATATATATATATATATATATATATCCACTTCACAGTGCTGTTTGGAGGAGGGGAAGCTCGCCAGTCCTCAACTGGCTGCTTCTCTCATTTTAAAATAAAAATGGAAACAATACATTGTGCGGAGGATCCAACACAGTGCCTCACACTTGGTAGGCAAGTGCTCTGCCACTGAGCTCCAGCCCCAGCCCAAATGGCTGCTTTCTTGAGGGAGCCATCCTAAGTGGCAGCCCTACAGCATTGTCCCTGGGACTCATCACTAGCCCTCCCTGGTCTAAACACATTCACATCCCATCCATCCTGGCCATTGGCCAACCTTGGATATGCCCTCAGCAGCAACCACAGGCTAAAGTCCTAGTCAGCGGCCACCCTCAGCTCTGGTCCGCAAGACGTGGGGTATGGGGGTTCTTGGCCAGTCCTGACTGCAGAGCACTGCCCTCTGCATTTTCTGGAATCGGACCCTCTGAGAGGTGGACCCCAAGCTGAGTATTCTAAGAAGCTCCCTTGAGTACACACACGTCGCAACGTCAGACTAGATTTCATGGGTCTCTGCTCCCGCTATATATCCCGCTAGGGACCCCGAGCGGGCGCTGGTCATCTCGGTATTAGAGAGAAGTCCTGAGCATCACTGAGTGCCAGGCCAGACCAACTGGGTCCCAATGAGATCCCCCAATCAGGGCCCCAAATCGGGCCCTGCCCATCAGGCCCCTTTCACCAACCCCAAGCAAGGCCCTGCCTCACTAGGGCCACGCCCACCAGACTCCCACTACGGCTCCGCTCCCATCGACAACCGAGTGCACATGGTTGTGATGGTTTCCATGGCCAAGGCTCGAATGAAGGCTGTCTTCGGATCTGCATTCTCCATCTGCGTTCGTTTTTCGGACTCCAAGATGCATCACGAGACCAAATTCAGGTGACGATAACGCATGCGCTGTGCCCGCTGCGCGGCAGGCTGCGTCATAATTCTTAGGTCTTGTGGCAGCCCCGCTTACTCAGCTGCGCCGCTGGTGTAGTGGTATCATGCAAGATTCCCATTCTTGCGACCCGGGTTCGATTCCCGGGCGGCGCATGTGATTTGTTTTCCCTTTTTCCGATCTCTGGAACCAGCTCCAGCTCACCGCAGCCATGAAGAGCAGAGCAGACTTGTGGGAAGTAGGAAGCACCGATTCCGGTGCAAAGAGAGACAGGCTCTCTGAAAACACTGGCGCGCAGTGGTGACGCGGTTCCTAACCAAGAGGCGTCCATAAACCAGCAGCATAGGCCGCCGGGGCCCACCCTTTAAGGTGTATCACGCGTCCTCGTGTCAGTTGTCCAACTCCTGGCAGAGCGGTGGCGATGCTGGTGGCGGCGGCCGCGGAGCGAAACAAGGAGCCCATCCTGCGCGTGCTGCAGCAGTACGTGGACCCCGCGCAACGCGGCGTCCGCGTGCTCGAGGTGGCCTCTGGTTCCGGCCAGCACGCCGTGCACTTCGCTCGGGCCTTCCCGCACGCGGAGTGGCAGCCATCCGACGTGGACCAACGCTGCCTGGATAGGTGCGACGGGTGCGGGCTGCCAGAGAGGGTGGCCGGGCAGGGGTGCGGGACCAGGCTGTCGAAGCGGTAGGGCTGCGGGCCCACTGCTCGGCTCTCCGGGCTCCTGGTGAAGCTGTTACCGCTGTTGACCGGTGACGAGTTCTTGCTCCCCGATGTTGAAGAATAACACCAAAGAAGCACGCCGAGGCAAGGTCAGAGTAGAAATTAGAAATTTATTAAAGGACAGAAGAAAAGACTTCTCCCGGAGGAAGAAGGGGACCCAGGAGGTGGAATCCGTGGAAGTGCAGTTGTCTCCCCTTTTTATAGTTCTTTCAGTGATGGAATGTAGGTTAGAAGGCCTGAGGGGTGGGACACAGGTGGGCCAAAGAAGTAGTCTGAGCAGGAAGGACTTTTGAGATGGGCTTATCACTTCTCTGGGATGGGCTATTTCCAAATCTGTTGGGGCTGTTGGTTAACACTTCTTTGAGGTGGACTTTGGCCTAGGGCCTTTTCAGGACTTCATTAACATTCCATGAGTTGTCCTGTGTTTTCCCTGAGTCATTTCCAGCATGGCCTCCATTTTAGATTTCACTCGATATTAGACCCGATTTACCTAACTACACTAACTACCTAACTTTAAATCTGGCTTCAAAGCGACTGCAGGGCCCTCTGCCTCTCGCTCATCCGCTGCCCTCCACAGCATCGCCGCCACCACGCAAGCCCAGGGTCTGTCTAACGTGAAGGCCCCACTATACCTGGACGTGACCTGGGAGTGGGAGCACTGGGGAGGGATCCTGCCGCACTCGCTGGACCTGCTGCTCTGCATCAACATGAGCCACATCAGTCCCTTAAGCTGCACCAAGGTGGGTGGCTGGAGAGATGCCTCGGGAGAGAGTGGCGGCCAGGATAGCCCTGTCTCCAGCAGGGGTTCTCCAGGGTCTGGGAAAGTGACTCACCCTGCCTTGCCTCCTCCTCCCCAGGGGCTTTTCAGAGCTGCTGGACATCTGCTCAAACCCAAGGCTCTGCTCATCACCTATGGGGTGAGTTGTCCTGCCCCAGGGCCTTTCCCCTCTTATGGCCTGCTGGGCTCTGCCCAGGCTCCACCTGGTCCTAGGCTTCCCCTTTTGGGGGCAGAAAAGGGGTGTCCTTTTCATTCTTCAGACCTCAGCCTGCCAGCATGTCCATGGCCCACTGAGGAATGACTGACCCTGGTTCTATGCCCCCTGTCCATGCAGCCCTATGCAGTCAATGGGAAGATCTACCCCCAGAGCAATGTGGACTTTGACTTGACCCTAAGATGCAGGTCAGAGCTGGGTGAGAGGGGCCTGGCTTAGGGAGAGGTGGGCTGGGTGTCCCTGGTTGGCCCTGGCCAAGACCCTACCTTCCTCCCTGCTGCAGGAACCCAGAGTGGGGACTGAGGGACACAGCCCTTCTTGAGGACCTGGGTCAGGCCAGTGGCCTGCTCCTGGAGAAGATGGTAGGCAGGGTGAGCTGGGGTGGAGTGGCCTTCCTGGGGCCCAAGGGCCACTCCAGCAAAGTATTTCTGTAGGTGGACATGCCAGCCAACAACAAGTGCCTGATTTTCCGGAAAGAATAACTCCTCCCCTTCATCCTGCGTGCATGTGCCCAAGTCTGGGCACAAACCAGAACTCCATCCCTATCTCTCTGGACCAGGTTTCTGGAATGACCAGCCCCACCAGTATGGGCTCGTGGAACCTGGGCCCAGACTGCCTTGGAATAAAGCACTTTCTGCTGCCCATTGAGTATCTACCACACTGTGGGACGGGTGGGAAGAAGGGTCTGGCCTGTGGGCATCTAGGGCCTCAAGGGACCGGCAGAATGGAGTTGGTCCCCACCTGTGAAGCAGGAGGTCCCCAGGGTGAGCTGCTTCTCCTTGGAGATCTCAGATGTAGCCAAAACCCCAGTTGGTTGAAGACCCCAGCTTGGTAACAGGCCAAGGGGTGGGGACACCTGGAAGGGTAACAATCCCCCACTGACAGCAGCCCATGAGTTCCAGAGGCAAGGAAGAGCTTTTATTCATCAGAAAAAAGGGCAGGGTGGGGAAGGGCAGGGCTAATCTTGGAAGCGGTTCAGCAACTCACAGGCCTTCTTCTCCAGCAGCTCTGATATTTTCTTCACCCGCTTCTCGCTGGCGGCACGCACGTAGCTGCCAGGGTCCAGCACAGCCACACCATCTCGTACTTCACCCATGATGACCAGTGGCCCATCGCCGGCAGACACATTGGGACAGGGGCAGGCCCAGTCCATGCCACTTAGTGTCACCTCCAGGTACTTGGTGCCCAAAAACTTGAGGCCCATCTTGTCATCCTTCAGTACGTCGTCCAGAGCCACACGGGCAATGCCGCCCGCAGCCTCTGGTTCCTCCAGCACCTCAGTGAGCCGCCCCACGATGGCAAAGTCACTGCGACACAGGCTTAGCGCCAGTTTGCTTCTGAGGCGACAGGCCCGGCAAGGTGGTGTGCGAGGCACAGGGCAGGCGTCCTCACAGCGCTCTCGGCTCTCAAAGTTGTTGCCATTGCCCTCGCAGCCACTGTATAGGAAGGGCAGGCACCGCTGCAGAAGTGGGCTATAGGCCCAGCGTGGCTCCCAGCCCTGGCAAGGCCCCTGCACCGCTGGCAGGGTGCAGGCATCCCCAGGGCCGCGGGTGCAGGCCTGTTGGCATGCCTCATATGTCTCAAAGCCCCGGGTGGCCCCATCACACTCGAGAGCGGGGAAGGTCATGCAGCCTCCGCGCTGTGGATCGAAGTTCCAGAGCACATGATGTGGGGAGGCAGGGCCTGAACAGGCCTGTGTGCCAGGCAGGCACTCTGCCAGAGTGGGCACGCCATGGGCCTTGTCCCTGGCTGGCTCCCGCTGGACCACAGAGAGTGGGAAGTCAGCCCTCAGCAGGCCTGCGGCATTGCGTGCAGTGCAGGTGTAAAGGCCAGCATCCTCTGGCCGGGCATTGTAGAGTACCAGCTGCCCGATGCTAGTGACCACCACATTGCCATACATCTGATCAGGGCGCAGGATAAGGTTCTCCTGCTGGTGGCTCTGCTTTTCCCAGGTCACAGCAGGTGGCGGGCGGCCACTGACCTCGCAGTGGAGGCTGGCCGTGCCCCCCACATGCACTGCTTGTGGGGAGGGACTGTTGTACAGGACAGGTGGCATGGGGGCAGCCCCCAGCATAGGCCGAGCTGTGGTCTCTGGTGGCCCTGGACTGCTGGGTGGCCAGCTGAGGACATGCTTGCAGGGCACCACGTGTAGGTGGAGGCCTCGCAGGCAGGCCTCAGCATCCATGTAGCAGCGATTGTAGTAGGTGAGGCCGTCGGAGGCACAGGTGAAGTGGGGCTCCTTCTCACAGCGGTCACGGCAGCGGCACACAGGCTGCCCATCCCAGATGTCACAGTCAGAACCCTGCTGTGGGCACTTGAAGCCCTCACAGGAGGCTGCTGTGGTGGGTGCATCTGGGCCATCTGGGAACCGGGCTGCCACACAGCTCTGTAGCCCACACACGTTGGCACAGCACTTCTCTGAGGCAGCACAATCCTGGAGGAGGCAGGTAGCTCAGCAGAGCCCTGAGGCCCTCCCACCTGGCCCAGGGTCTCCACCTTGCCCCTGCTCCAGGGAGTACAGATGCCTGCAGCTACAGTCCCTGTGGCCTCTCCCTGAGCTGGCTTTCCCTCTGGAAAGTGGAGGAAGTGCTTTTTGTCCAATATAATAAGCTTCAAAGCTGGTCACATATCACCTAACTGAATCCTTAACATCCTCAAGCAGGACTCACCGTGGTTCCTTCCCCATGTGCCAAGGCCCTGGCTCAATGGCAGATTTGGGCTAGGGTGTGGCTTAGTATGAGGGAGGACCTGGTTCTGCCCTGGCATCATACAGAAAAAAGCAGCCCCCCACCATCACAGATGGCCATGTGCCAACCCTCTGGTCACCCCTTTCCCAGTGTGAGGGGAGGGCGATGGCCCACAGTAAGATTGCTGCGCAAGGGAAAATTCAGAGGCCTGTGTCCACTCTGGTCTTCACAGGATAACTGCTGCCCAGGCAGGAAATAGACAGGTCTGGTGAGGAAAAGGGGATCCCATTCTCAGTCAGATGAGGGCAAAGAAAGGGTATAACCCGGGCCCCTTGTATGGGGAATGGCCAAAACCTTGGCAGAAGAATGTGGAGAGCCCCAGTAGGAAGTGGGTTCCTAGGGCTGCCCTCCACCCCCAGGGAAAGGGCTAGGATGGGGCCAAGCACCCAAGACTCCTTGGAATTCCCCACACTCACCTGGTCCCTGGTGCACTCTCGCTCACAGGTGCTCTGGGCGTCTACCCACAGGCTGGGGCTGAGCTGGTTGGGGCACAGGCCGGGGTGGTTCCCTAGCTCTGGCAGCAGGCCAGCCCCCAAGGCCAGTCTGATGATGAGGAACAGAGGCAGGAACAGTTGCAGGGCGGGCATGGGGACCACAGGGCCAGGGGGCATAGCCGTGTGGCTGCCAGCCCCTCCTGGGGCCCCACAGAGCCCAACACTCTGTAGGCATCCACTCTCTGGGGCTCCCCGGCTGGCCCTTCCTCTCCCCTGATTATTCTTTGGGTTCCCCTTTGGCCCCTGAGGCTGGAGCCCACTGCAAATGCTCCCCCCCCCCCCCGGCCCCAGACGGGTGGGTTTTGGAATCTCAGAGCTCTGTGTAGCCCTTTCCCTCCCTAATCTGTCTCCTCTCTCAAAAACTGCAGGCTGCTCCCAGGTCCTGGTCAGCATAGGGAGAGGAGGGGAGGCTGGGGAGGGGCCAGGGCTCAATAGCACAGGGTCATCGAGGGGCGGAGAAGGGCTAGCTCTAGCCAGAGAGGAGGAGAGGAGGGGGATGACACAGTAGCTGGAATCCCTCCCTCCATAGGCTGAAGTCAACTGGGGTCAGTTTCCTTGAAGACCCTCCTCCTTCGATTTAGGGGGGAGGGGTGAGGCCAACAGAACTCAGCAGCTTTTGTCCCCAACCTTTCGGTCTCCAATGTGGGGGGAGTTCAGGCCCCTACCTCACCCCAACTGACCACAGGCCTGGGTTTCCCCAAGTCAGGTCCAGGTGGTACCTGTCACCTTTGAGTCCAGGTAAGGCACAGGGGTGCTATTTCAGCCCAGCAGATGGGGAGGGGGTCAGTTCACTTCCTGGGAAGAACACCACTTTCTCCATGTCCCTGTCAGGGTCACAACCTGCCAGCAAATGTTGAAGTACATGTGGAATCTGCAGGGGTGAGGCCTTGGCAGCTCAGGTCTTGAGACGACACAGAACTTTGCATTCCCAGAGATACCCAATTTGCTGGAGCCTCTGGCTCTGGTTCTGGCCTTGGCCCAGGCCCTTCCTGGGCTGAGCAAGGAAGGGCATAAGTGAGGCCTGCCCAGCACCAGGATATGGCTCCACATGGGTATCCACCCAGGGTCCATAGGGATGGCCAAGTCCAAGGGCCCTAAACGAGCAAAGTCCTACAAACTACCCAGGGCCCGCAAGCACCCAGGAGTCTCTCCCTGCCCCCAGCTGCCTGGCCTGACCTGGGGGCCAGCTGGGCTGGAGGCCCCTCCTCCACTGGGGAGATCAAAGGCTCCTGGCAGGACAAAGGGCCGCTTGGAATTTGCCCTTCCAAACCCTTCTGAGGCTCCAGAGGTCTGGGGGCCCCAGGAAGTAGCCCTGAGTCTGACCTCCTGACCCAGGAGGCAGGGTAATAAAGAGCTTGGTCTGGCCAGAATGGAACCAAGAGATGGCTGCCAGGCGCCAATGTCTCCTGACTTACCCAGGAGCTATGGGGTGCTGGCCCCTGATAATGAGGGGTGGGTGGCTAGGCCAGCCTACAGATGGGGTCAGGACAGGAGCTCACTGCAGCCTGGCAGCCCCAGTGTCGGGGTGCCCAAGGCCTAGACCACTCCCAAGGAGCAGCATGTGTCCCTGGAGTACATCTGCGGAGTACAGCATTCTTATCCTGCTCAGGTCTGACCTCCAGGACATGACTCACCCCTGGCTGAGCAGGACTCAGCAGAGTCCCACCCTTGGGGGTTCCTGAAACTGTGGCAAACTGTGGATGCTGGAAATAAGGGCTCCACATGAGGAGGCGTTTCCCTAGGACTTGTACACTGTGCACAGACCAGGCCAGCCCAGCCCACCCTCAGCCCTCGTTTACAGGTATGCAAACCTAGTGTGCCTACAGGTCATCAAGGTCAGCTCCTGAAGACAAAGGGCTCAAAAAAGCTGGGGCTCAGATGGGCAGGCACAAAGCTGTGGTCGTCCCTGTGTAGGGCACCACTGCCAGACCCACCCACCCCCACCACAGCCCATAAAATCGGACTGACCTTACAAAACCAACAGGGAGGGCACAGCTGAGTTACATTTACTGTACAAAGAAACGGAAGAACAGCTCAAAGGACACAGGAATGCAGGGTCCAGCAGCAGTGAGGGTAGTGTTGATATGGTGCACGTGGGACTGTCCAGCTCCTCAAAATGAAGTCTGTGTAGCTCTGTTCATAACTCCAGAGAAAAGGGCACTGCTGGCAGCAACAGGGCTGCTGGGGTTGGGAGATGGTGGAGCCACCCCTGACACAAGCTCCCCAGCACAGGAGCCATCTCCCAGTACAGCCATGGTGCTGCGTCTGCATGTCCACCGGTGTCCTGAAACACCTGCAGCAGGACTGTCCTGTACCACGTGCACTATGAAGGACCCAGAGAGAGGGGTCCCAGCCCAGGGAGGGCTCCTTGGTGGCTGGGGCCCTAGGGCAGGAGGTAGAGTT